TGAACATGTAGAGTTATTATTATACAATTTAAGCCTACACAAAAAAATAAGCTAAAAACAGTCCAGAGGAGAAGGATTTGGGGGTGGTGATGGACAAGAAGCTCAACCTCAGCTGGCAATGTGCCCTTCCAGCCCAGAAAGCCAATTGTGCCCTGGGCTGCATCAAAAGAAGCATGGCCAGCAGGTTGAGGGAGGTGATTCTCCCCCTCTACTCTGCTCTTACAAGATCCCATGAGAGTATCGCACACATTTCTGGAGCTTCCAACATAAGAAGGACATGGAGCTGTTGGAGTGAGTTCAGGGGAGGGCCATGAAGATGAGTAGAGAGTTGGAGCACCTCTACCATGAAGACAGGCTGAGAGAGTTGTACTGTTCAACCTGGAGAAGACAAGGCTCTGGAAAGGACTCATAGCAGTCTTTTAGTACCTGAAGGGGACCTAAAGGAAAGCTGGGGATGGACTTTTTACAAGAGCTTGTAGTGAGAGGACAAGGAGTAATGGATTAAAACTGGAAGAGGTAAGATTTAGGTTCAACATTAGGAGGAAATTCTTTATCATGTGGGTTATGAGACACTGGAACAGAATGCCCAGGGAAGTTGTGGAAGCCCCATCCCTGGAAGTGTTCAAAACCAGGGTAGATGGGGCCCTGAGCAACCCTGTCTAATGGGAGGTGGCCCTGCCAATGCAGGGGAGTTGGAATGAGATGATCTTTAAGATCTCTTCCAACCCAAACCGTGCTATGATTCTATTGTATAATACTACGAATTTGCCCTGAAATTTGTCCTCAGAATTAGGAGAAATTCAGGGCTTATCTGAATAGAATCTAAAGCATGGAGTAATTTAGGAGTATACTGAAGTCTCATTCTTATTGAAATACTTGGATTAAATTGAAATGTTGGCAATTATATTGCAGAAGAAAGTAGAAAAATATATTCTAGATTATACAAATAAATCACTATTACAGAGTAGGACAGTAAAAAATATGTTTACAGAGGTAATATTAGAACAGTCTGTCATTTGGTAAAGACTACAAAAAACTGTAAACTGTGTTGGAAAAAAACTGTATATCATATCATATTAAATTAACATTAAAAAAAACAACTTGAACTGTATTAATGCCTAAAGTAAGAATTCAAACTAAAGGCTATTCTGTTAATACAGTCTCTGGTTACTCGAATACCAATCACTGAAAATTGATACAGGGACTTCTGAATCTGAAATTTAAATATAAATAGGTGTGAGAAATCTTAAAGCCTTTATCTGGCACTGACTTAAATATTCTCAGATTTTAAAAGTAGTTTGTGTGATAAAAAGGGGTCTGACTAACCTAATTTTTCATTTTCACAGTAACCTCTTCTGGTCTTTTGGTGAGAACATGATTAGTACTTTGTATGCTATTAGAAAAAAAAGTCCATGACTGTTGTTATATTAATTTAGGAGATTTCAGACTTGGGTGGAATTCATAGGGGGAAAAAAGAAAATCCACATTACTGTAATTGGCATGTTTGATTTGAATAATTGAAACATAGAATTTCCCAAGTTTTAGTTTTCAAGTGATTTTAAAGCAGAATTATTATGTTGATCTAAAGTCTGCTGAAAGTTATTCTACAAACATATTTTACAGATCTAAAAAGATATTAAGCTGAATTTGATTGTGACATCTTTTCACTAACTTATTTTGTTAGCGGTTACATCTACCTTGAAGAACAAGGTAGTATATATTAATTACCTCTGTTTTTATTGTAATTGAAAGAAAAAAGAAAACTGTCTTTTAAAACCTTTTTTTTTTCTGTTTTTCCTGGATTGGTAACAACTTCTTTTTTAAAATATTAACATAACAGTCCATTCCATTAACCTATTTAAATATTATCTTCTGTTTAACAATACCTCCTTTTTAAATTTATATGAAATCCTTGTCAAATTCAGAGTTTATTCAGTAAGTTTAGACAGAGCACCAAATATGGAAAATTCCCTTTCACAGTAATTATAGTTACTGTATGATGTAACAGGGCTATGTGAAGTAAAACTAACAGATATTCTGATTTTCTATACAGTGAGAGAAATTATAAAGTATGTATATCACTGACAGCTCAAAATAGAAGTATTTCTGTGGAACAATGGCAAGAAATTCACTGAAAAAACAGTTTGCAAAATATCAGTGACAGATATGAAAACAAACCCACTTCTTCATTGCTGATACCATTTTGTGCAATAAAATTGCTAAATGAAACAGATGTCTCTCCATTTCTCAGCTTGGTTGACATGAATCACAGATGGCCATTTGCCAAAATAACTATTAGAAACATTTTATCCTAAAAGCAGCAGAGAAATACTTTGCTGAACTTTTTAAATTGCAGAGTAAAATGAAAAAAAACCAACAACTTTACTATGCTAACTGACACTGCTCATGTATTTCAGAGCTGGATAAGGAGCATCCAAGGTGATCAATTGCATAGGGAGGTCTTTAGCTATCTTGATTCTTCTAATAAAATCTGAATTCAAATAAGGGGTAAGAAAATTAATTGAGGGGTATCCTCTTTTCTTACTTACATATAATACATATATTCTCTCCTTTAATTATGTTTGGAAGCCTTGTTGGTTGTTTTGTGTTTCCTGATGAAGACCTTCTGATATGCAATTGTGAAGTTGAAGTTTTTCTATAAAAACTGTGGACTGCTATGTGTATGTATTATATTTAAATTAGTTTACTAATCTGAATAGAAACTATTAGCACTTTTTTAGAAAATGAAAAGTGATATTGCTTAAAGAGTTCTTCTAAACTATGCAGATTGGTATTCTTTACAAATATATTACTCTTAAGTGCGACTATCAGATCCCTAAGAGCCGTTATGTAGATGTCTCAAAATCTTACATTCAACTCGCTTTTCAGTCTTTTTATTAATATAGTTGGGGAAAAATCTTCTAAAGTTTTAGTTTGGTGGATGTAAGAAGCTTATCCCAGCAGTCCACTGTGAATGTTTGGTTTCAGCACAAAAGGCAAGGAAAGCTACATTCAGAACACTTATAGTTGAATATTCCACTTTGATAGTGCTTTGAAAAGGAAGTTATGGGAGAAAGTACATTGGTGAGGCTGCACCTTGACTACTGTTCTGGGCCCCCCACATTGAGCTTTTGGAGTGTGTCCAGAGAGGAACATCCAAACTGGTGAAGGGGATTGAGAATGAGTCCTGTAACGAGAGGCTGAGGGAACTGGGGTTGTTAATTTTGTAGAAGAGGGTGGTGAAGGGAAACCTCATTGCTCTCTACAGCTGTAGGAAATGAGGTTGTAGAGAGGTCGCTGTGGGTCTCTTTTCACAAGGGAATAATGTTAGGACTAGAGGAAATGGCCTGAAGTTGCACCAGGGGAAGTTCATACTAAGTATTTGGAAGAATTTATTTACTGAAGGAGTATTTAGGCACTGGAACAGGCTGCCCAGGGAGGTGGTGGAGTCGCCATGTTTGGAAGTATTCAAGAAATGTGCAAATGTGGCACTTCAGGACATGCTCTAGTAGGGGTTTTTTTGTGGGTTGTGTGTTATTGTTGGTTTTGCAGGGTGTGTGGTTGTGGTAGGTTTTTGTTTTGTTTGGCGTTTTTTTGTTGGTTTTTTTTTTTGTTTGGGTTGATTGTGTTTCCTCTCCCCCTCCCTGCCCTCAGATGGACATTTGAACTACGTGATCTTAGAGGTCTTTTCCAACTGTGACAATTCTGTGACTCTGTGAAGGCCACCATATAAAAAGAAATAATTAAAAAAAATATTTCTATGACTGGACGACAAGGGGAATATTTATATTAAGCTACTTATAACATGTTTTTCAGGAACCAAATTGTGAGCTTAAATTAATGAAAACCCTACACATGATTAAATGTGGTCTTGCTGCAGTTCTAAGATGCCATTATTGTGTGTTCAACTATTTTCACAAAGGAAAAAGTGCACTAGTTCTGACTTAAACTTTCTGGGACATTTTTTAAGTATTATCTTTTAAAAGTCTTTATATTTGCACTTCATTTCTGTAATCAGAGCTTCTATTACTGCTTCTACTTGATTTAATCCTTCTGCTGAATTCAAACATTAAAAAGTATACATTTCATGGTGAAAGTAAATATGAATGCTAGATTCTTTTAGTTAATTATGAAATCAGTGAGACTGGAAGGAACTTTGCAAAAAGATGACGGGATAAATTATGGTAAGTGTATCCAAAAGATCAAATGAGCCAACCACACTACTGTACTGAACAAAGCAAAAGAATTGATTTATTTTAATATTTTTTTTGGTGGTTGTACTAAAGTCAGTCAGTAATACAGGTAATTAATAGATTAATTTAAGCTTTATATTACTAACATAATCGGTATTAAATTAATATTGAATGCTTTTTTTTTTTTTTCTTTAGGCTATTTACATGAGTTGATTAAGTCAAAATGATAATGACTTAAAATATAGTTTGCCAATATAGGAGAAATATCAATATTAAATATTTATTTTTTTATTTTAAGTTTAGAATGACATGGAACCAGTTGTTCTACTTTCCTTAATTGTCTTGTATTCTGCCATGTTCTTCATCTGCTTAGTGAATTTACAACTAGCACAGCAGGTTGTGAATTTTTAATAGAATCTCTTCAAGGAAGGAAAAGGTCAGTATTAACATAAAAATCTTATTCAAGAATTGTGGTGCAAAGGTTTCCTAGCAGAGAACAAGTGTTATTGCAAAACTCAAATCTGCCACAAGAGTCAAGTCAGAAGATTTTTGGAGCTAAGCTGGGAAACAAATGCTTCAGTGTGACACCATGACTGCCAGTCAATGGTGATAGAAATTACTTTGTTTTGTTGATATTAATCACATTTGTTGCACAAAGAATGATTTAATATATAACAAAAAAAAACAAACCAAACAAACAACAACAACAAAAAAAAACACAACAAAACAAAACAAAGGTAAAAGGAAAACCCAAAATCAAACCATGTTACTTTTAAATAAAATGCTCTTATTTTTCCTCCTTTTCAGCTTCATTCTGACCAGGACAAGGGAGATGGAACCCTGAAATACATTTTGTCAGGAGATGGGGCTGGTACTCTTTTTATAATTGATGAGAGAACAGGTGACATTCATGCCACTCGAAGAATTGACAGGGAAGAGAAAGCCTTTTACACCCTGCGTGCCCAAGCTATTAATAGAAGAACTCTGAGACCAGTGGAACCTGAATCTGAATTTGTCATCAAAATCCATGACATCAATGACAATGAACCAACATTTCCAGAAGAAATTTACACTGCTAGTGTTCCTGAAATGTCTATAGTGGGTGAGTGCTTTACACTGGGGCACAAATGCCTGCCTTTTGTTATTTGACAATAATTTCCCTGTCTTCTGAAAAGTAATTAATATTTGAAATTCTGCCTCATGGGTTAACTGTTTTTCTATTTTGTTTATCCAAATACTGGAATTGCATCCAGAAAGAGTATTTTGTGACTTGAGATCTCTTTCTAATTAGAATATTTGGATTATTAATTTAAAGTTACTTGAAATTTAAATACTAATAGAAAGTAGTTAATGGTGAATCACCTTCCTCCTTAAGAACTATCAGAATAAGATCACTAAATTAGCCCATTGAAAGATGAATACATTTTTCCTTTCATTTTCACTGAAGGTCCCCATTGGTGATAAACACTGAATGGAGAGCTGTCTCCACTTCCATTCTTTCTGCGGCTGAGGGGAATGATATGTTTACTCATGTGCTGTTAATGCACTGCCTGAAGGTAGAGATTATCGTTATTTTCTTGGGCTTTCAGTTCCTCCCTTAACTCGCTCATGAATAACAGCTTCAAGACCCTTAAACAGCTGCTTGAGTTCATCTGTTTGCAATGGAGTTTCATTTCCTGTCTTAGCTACAAAGTTGCGGACTGCATCATGCCAGCTGGTCAGATGCATAAACAACTGCATTTTGTAGTATGAGGTATTACTAATTGGTGCATACAATTCCTTAGGAAGAATTTTGAAAAGCTTAAGAATATTTGCTTATTAGTAGTACAAGTGGAGATATAATACTAATTTTAAAATTCTAAGTAATGACAGTGTTTGACAGAGTGTTCTCTTGAGGTTACTTCATGGTGTACACTGGAACGGCATTGGAACATTAATATCTTTATACTAATGTGTGCACCAGGAGGAATACACAAGAGGAGCTAGAAGGTTTGGACCACTCCCAGAGCTACACCCATTGGTGGTACATGAAACCTGGTGGGATGAGTTCTGTGACTGTTACGCCGTGATGGAGAGTTATAGGCTCTTCAGAAGGGATTGGTAGGGCAGGTGAGGTGGGCAACTGGCAGTGTGTTTAAGATTGCAATGTATGGAACATATAGCTGGCAACGACACAGTTGAAACCCTCTGGGTAAGGATGAAGGGGAAAATAAATAAAGGGGATGTTTTTGTGGGACTCTTATCAGCTACCCAGCCAAGACAATGACACCAATGAATTCTTCTATAAGGAATCAGGGATATCTCTAGATCAACTGTCCTTGTCCTTATGAGTGATTTTGAATTCCCAGACATCAACTGGGAATATCGTACAGCAGACACAAACAAGCCCAGGAAAATTCTGAATCATTTTGAAGATATCTTCTTGGTGCAGGTACTAAGGGACCTAACTATGAAAGGTGCCCTTCTTGATTTATTGTTTTTAATCGAAGAGGGACTTGTGGGTGAAGTGGTGATTGGTGACCGCCTTGGTCACAGTGACCACAAAATAGTTGAATTTCAGATCATTGGAGATAGGAGAAAAACTGATAGTAAAACTTCAAGCCTGGATATGAGAAGAACAGACTTCAGGCTGCTGAAGAAGCTAGTTAGTAAAATCCCTGGGAATTCTGCTTTTGAAGGTATTGAGGCCAATGACTGCTGGTCACTTTACAAGAGGCATCTCCTAAGAATGCAGAAGCAGGAAATTCCAAAGTGTTGGAAGTCAAGCAGGCAGTGCATCACGCAGGTGGGATGAGCAGGGATCTTCTAAAATTTTGCCAGAGAAGTGTATGGACATTGGAGATAAGGATAGGTGACATGGGTGGACTACAGAGATGCTGTTCACCCCTGTAGGGGGAAAATTCGTGTCACCAAAGCTTGATTAGAGTTCAAGCTGTGCAGTACTGTGAAGGAAAACAAAAATTACTTTTAAAAGTATGTTAACAGCAAAGAAGGATCAGAGATAACATCGGTCCATTACTTAATGAGGCCAGTCACCTAACAAATAGGGATGATGACACAGATATTTAATGTCTTTTTTGCCTGTGTGTTCAACACTGATAATGGGGCCTGGCACCCCCAGAGCCCTGTGTTGGAAGATTGTTGCTAGGGGGATGATAAAATACCAGCTGACTCTGAATTTGTTTGAGACTTGGTGCTGTAGCTGGACGACGCCCCACAGGATTCATCCCAGAGTACTGAAAACTGGCCAATGTCTTCACTGGACCTCTTTCCATTATTTTTCAATAGTCTTGGGAGTCTGGAGAGGTTACAGTTGGCTGAAAGCTGGCCAGTGTTCCAATTTCCAAGAGGGTAAGAAGGAAGACCCTGCCAACTACAAGCCTGTCAGCCTCACTTCAGTGCCTGGTAAAGAAGATTTTTCTGGAAGTTGTACTGCAACAACAGTGATGACATGTTCATATTAATCTTCTATGTGCTCATCTGAATGCCAGAAAGAAAACAGACATGGTAGCATTTCATACTATGTAAGCTTACATGCCTCACTCCTTTTAGAGCTACACTGTATAATGTAGATAGTAGCTAGAGTTCAGAGCTTTTAAATTTTTCTAAATACATTTTCAGTTTTCAGTGAGATTGCAAATATTCATCAGTATACTACATTTACTTTAATAACCTAGTAAGTAAATAAATTGGTAAATTTTTAATCCACAATATTTCTTTACTAGCTCATAAAAGAAGGCTGTTATTGCCTAATGTCCTGCTTTCTTCACCAAAAGCATCACAAGAAATGCACAAGTAGCAAAACATGCAAGAAACATCAACTTGAAATAAATCTGTGCACCCCTTGGGGTCTGCAGGAGCAGGGTCTGCTCCATCCTACCATCCTCATGAGGAAGACAGAGATGTAGTAAGGCAATGCAGGGAGAAAATTAGGAGGGCCAAAGCCCTACTTGAACTCAATTTGGCTACTGCTGTCCAAGACTTTATATTGATTACTGGGCATTTTATCTTCTTTCAATTTTTTCCTTTCCTTACTTTCAAAGTTTATGACTCATAATATTCTTACAGTTTTGACTACTCTCCGTCTGTCATATTCTTCACCTGCTTATATCTTTTTGCTCATTTGAAGGTTGCTTCTCTGAACTGCAGATAAGTCTATTTTCTACCACAAAGCTTTTCCTGTGGATTGTGCCTATTGGTATATTTTAGACAAGCTTTTAGAACCTTTTGCTATTTAGAACTATTTCTCTGTTCATATATTGTAGCCCATATATTTTGTAATCATACCTTATCTTTATTCCATCCTGTATCTTCAGTCCTATTTCTGCTATCCATAATGCTCCCTAGCTGGTCTTTTCTGCTTTTGAATTAGCAATATCAATATATGCTTCATAAGTGTGACCTCCCTCTGGATTTAGATGTGAATTACAAGTTTAGGGTCCTCCAGTTAGTCTATCACCTCTACCTGTACTTATCTTTTTGTCTTTCTCTTCAGACAGCATTTAGAGCTACTATTGCTTGGCTTTCTCCCTAGGCTATTTGTACACTGCCTCATTAGTGCTGTTGCACCAATTACCAATGCATTATCCTATCTGCCATAATATTTATCCTGTAACAATTTATTCATGTTTTCTATTAACAAAGTTATTTTATTTTTTTAAATAATTCTTTCACCAAACTCTTTTGCATCATCTGGCTTATAATTTCATAATATCAGTAATGACAGATTTTGAGAAGCCAAATTATGACAATTTTCAATTTCTGCAAACTCCACCTTCACTCTGCATGCAAATCCTGACATAAGGGAACAAAAAAGGGGAAAAAAACCCCAAACCAAAACAACAAAATAACTTTTTTTGTTTTGCTTATTTCTGTGTATAGTTTGTTTGCTTGTTCTTGTTGTTGATGTTTGGTTGTTTTTTTCTTTAAAAAGGACATTTTAAAAGAATTGGAAATGTCCACTGATGTGCTTCATTCCTAGTTGTTTTCCAAGACCTTTTCAACGGCAGCTTCTCTGAATATGTAATCCTTCTCACTTCTCTGTTATTCTGCTGCACTAAATAATTTATTTCAGGAGAGAATGTGTCATTATTTTCCCCTTTTCCAGTAGAAAAAGCAGAAAATTTCTGTTAATTTGATTTGTCATTTGTATGGATAATTTACTATGGAGGTTACTTGGTCTGGTTAAATATCACGTAACTCAGTTGGGAATAAGGAAAAGGAAATATAAGTTCTAAATTCAGCTCTACAATAGATATTCTGTGGGTTCTTTTTCCAAGTTAATTCCTAGCTAATGCATCTATATTAGAAATGCATTGTGAGGTCAAAGTCATTAATATATGTATGGGGTTTGAAGATGCTTACAGAGAACACATTCAAAAGGGCCAAATATATTAATTACTATTATAGTACAAGACCCTAGGGAGATTAAAAAATTGTAATTAAAATTATGTTTTCTGAGAACTCAATCTGATAAATGACTGTTTACTTCCCGGCCTGGGCCTACCTCACCACTGTATAATTTTAGCTTATTGTGTAATAAAATTTGCCAGTATACAGGGGCAAAATTACAGAATTCATCAGTCCTATTAATGACATAGCTGGTGCCATGTTCTCCAGGATATTAACACGGTCTTCCTTATGCACTCATATGGGGTTCAGATTAGACTTTAGAAACTGAAGGCAAAACGGTCTTTACTATCTGTGCCTATGTAGAAGGCAGAGCAAAGCCCAGACCAAGTAGTGCTGACTAAGTCACACCCACACTGTAGTTTTTAAACCCCAGTCTTACTGATTGTCTTCTGGGCCTTTGCATTTCTGGTCCAGTTTTCAGAGAAACACAGAATGGTTTGGGTGGGAAGGGAGATCATCTAGTTCCAACCTCCCTACCATGGGCAGGGGCACATTTCACTAGGCCAAGGGGCTCAAAGCCCCATCCAACCTGGCCTTGAACACTTCTAGAGAGGGGGCATCCACAGCTTCTTTGGGACAAACAATTTCTTTGTAGTACTGAACATCAGTGGTCTTCAGTGATTACAGTGAACTGAAACAAAACAAAAAAGGTGATGGTTTGACAGTTGATGTGCATAACATAATTGATACACTGATATACTCCTCCTGTTCACTTCTCTGCATGGTTTCTGTATGACTTTTCACAGAAATCACTGGTTTCTCTGTGGAAGCCTAGAGAGCATGTCTCTCTTCCTATTAAGAGCAGCAATCAAGATCAAACTTATGCATCCCAAATGGCAGGCAGAAGTGTAGTGGTGTCCTTCTACTTTTCCTGCTAGGTATGCGACTAGTGACTGGCCAGCAAAAGCCAAAGAGCTCAGGCAACATTAAAAAGGATAGTCCTTACTGCTTTTGGGAGAAGGAGCGTATGTTATCCTGAGCACAACCCATTGAGTAAATCATTGTGCGATAGTGATGAAATTGAGGACCGAGTATCTTCCCACTGACGTTAAAGAGAACAGGATCAAATCTAGTTTCCAAAAGGGTCTGATAGATTTTATTGTGTACATGCAGCCATGCTCACTGCAGCTAGAGAGAAGGATAACTGATATTATTTTTTCTCCTTCATGTGTATTAAAATAGGATTAATATGTATATGTGCATTATGAAACTCATAACTGAAGCAGCAGTAAATATTAGATGCATATTATTACATTGCAAATGGAATTTTTAAATTTATTTGGAAGCTATTAAACGAATTTTTCAGTTTTCTTCTAAACTATCCTCTAAAATAGATTATGCATATTTCTTTAAACTGTAATGAAATAAAAATCTCATACAATTGGCCTATTAATAAATACTACTGGTTTGAAGATCTGAAGGAAATGTGAAAATTAGAAGCAACTTATAATTCAGTTACATGTAATAGAGATAAAATACCACCTTAAATAGTTTGCAGTGTAGACTTTTCTCATTAATACATGGTGCTGTTGTGATAGCTGCCTTGATGATGAGTATATTCCAGTTTTATGGATATAATATGGACAATCTGTAAGCTTTACTTGGATAATGCCATGTCTATCACTGTACTTAAGGTGTTGAGTTTTTTCTTTATCTGAAGCGCTTAAGTTACTGAACATTATTTGCTCACATCTCTCTTTTACATACCCCTTTGCTATTTCAGAGAAGATATTCTTTAGGATCAAGTATATGATCTAGTGCTGAAGTTGGCTACACACTGCAATGGTCCAAAAAGTGCATTTAAGAATCAAGGCAACAGTCTTCTGAATTTAAAAATATTCAAAAAAGGACCAGCGTGTACTTTCACAGTGTTTATTAGACATATCTTTACAAACGGAGACAAAGGGAAGGAGGGCTTCCTCACCATTTATAGTCACGGGCAAAACAGACTCAACTTGGGCGAAAACGTCTGAAGGTCTTCTGATCCTCAGAAGGCTAACCAGTCACATGCATGATTATTTATTTACTTGTTTTCACTTGTTTCCTTTATACTAAAAATCATATCTGCATTTTATGGAGGTACAATAGGGGAGAGCCTTGTTGATACTTTATTTCTCTGGTGGAAGGGTTCAACAGAATGTACAAACTATTTTTATTCAGCAAGATATGGCAGAGGGAATTGTAAGCGTTTCCTGTTTTGAAGAACTGGTATATTCCACTAAAATGTAGAGCTGGTCTTTAAGCTTAGAAAATTTCTTGTAGTCTAAATAACCCACATATTTCAAAGTCCGTACAACAATATTTATTTTGGTAGTATGTATCTATACTTACACTTTAAAAGTAGGGAAAACTGATTACTAGTTCTTCCCAAGTTCCAATGACCTATTTAATAATCTTTTCCTGTCACGTTCCTGCATGCATAGTTTCATACATTGGTCAACAATAACAACAACAAAACAAAACAAAACCAACCAAGCAAAAAAACCTGTTCTAGGTAATGGAAAGCAGATATTTATTGTAATAAAAATAAATAAGTCTTCTGATAAGAGAAAGTGAGTACATAAGTATGAATTTTTTATAGCTGGGTAAAGATTAGAATTCAACTCAACCAGAGCTATAACTTACCTTTGATAATTAGGTTTTAATCACACTGGTGGGATTTGGCAAGTTTAGATTCAGTTTATTTAGGATAAGATCCTGAAATAGATAAGAATGTAAATGAAGTAGACTGGAAGATAATAAATGTATTTGAGAATTCCAGTTAACAGTAGCTGAAATTTTCTTTGGAGTATGCTGAAATGGAAATTGATGTTCTTGGGTCTCCACCAAGTACAATGTGAAAATAAGTTGACTATGGTTGTTTCAGGTACTTCTGTGGTGCAAGTTACAGCTACTGATGCCGATGACCCTTCATATGGAAACAGTGCAAGAGTAATTTACAGCATACTTCAGGGACAGCCATATTTCTCCGTGGAACCGGAAACAGGTCAGGGAAATTGCAATTATTCCCATTTACCATAAACTGTAGACTTTTCCTTTCATCTTAAAAATCTTAAATCACCTAGAGAATTAACTTTAGAAGCTGACTGAAATGAAATAATGTTTCTTGGTTTTTTATAATTTATATTTTTTGTATTAATATAATATATTAGAGTTATTACAGCTGACACTATGATGCGTAAGTAACTTTACAGTGGTACTATTGAAATATTCAAGATTTAAGTAACAACATTTCTGGTAAAGGCTCATGTCCTAGAAAAGATTGTGCTTTTTTTTTTTTTCTTAATGGTTCTATTTGGACTAATAAAAGGTGTTCTTTGTACTCATAAACCTTATGTCTAAAGATAGTGAATATTTTTTGATATGAAATATAAACTGGAAAGGGAACTGTGACGTAGAACTAAGGTTTGTTCAACAGACAGCCTATACTGAAGACTATTTATAAAGCTTATGAGCAGAAATCTGTATTTTAAAATATGCAATGTATATTTTAGATATATATTTCACAGGCAGATAATACAAAAAAGATGCAGCAGATTGCTGCACATCCAAAATAAAGAGATTATTTTTTGTTGTTGTTGTTGTTTTTATTTATTTAAGGCATCATCAGGACTGCTTTACCAAATATGAACAGAGAGAACAGGGAGCAATACCAAGTAGTTATCCAGGCAAAGGACATGGGAGGCCAGATGGGTGGATTATCAGGGACCACCACCGTGAACATCACTTTGACTGATGTCAACGACAATCCACCTCGATTCTCCCAGAGTAAGCTGCATTTAATTGTTGCCTTGCACTGTAAGAGCTTCAAACTAAAGAGTTTAGCAATCACCATCTGGTTTAATTTAGAGTAAATCTAGATTATGGGGCACACGTGAACAAAAAAAGGCTTATGTGCTGATTTATTCACTGTTATTAAAATAGTATATTAAATGTTGCAGCATTTGTTTGTTATCAGAACAGCTATATAGTCAAATGTAACTGCTTCAAACCTGGAATACTTTCCAGTATTATGTGAGCGGGTGGTATGTGGACTTAAAAGAGTATTAGAGAAGTGTTTTCTTTTCCCTTACCTATTGCTTAAATCCTATATACTCCCCCACTGGAAAATAAAACATGTAGTAATTTTATATATGCAGAAATGTTTGAATTGTACTATCTGCTTAAATATTTAATCATGAAGAACGTGGAAAAGAAATTACTTGAAGGGAATAAAACAGATCTGTATTTTTCCAGTTACAGTACCACAAAATCAAACCTAATAAAAAATTTTCCAAAGTGAAGTGACTGGCATTTGACTATATTTTTTTATTACACCCTAAGTTTATGAAAGCCTTTTATAATGCTCTTTAACTTCTGATAGTACAGCTATCAAGTCTTTGTATCCTCAAACTAAAATATAAAAACATTATTGATCTCTATGCACTATGGAAATATTAAACTGCATCACTAAACATGTTAAAGGTTAAGCATTTTGTATACATTTATAGGCTTTTGCTTCTACTGAAATTGTAATATTTGGTTTGGATACACTTTAAAGAGTGAAGAGTATCTGCACTGTGCATTTTTATTTCTGTAGAGCTCTGGTGAATCCAAGTAGTTATTGGTGGTCAGCTTTCAGACTGAAAATAACAGAAACAGCTTTAAATAATTCGGATGCTCTTTGTGGCACAAATAGAGTACATAGTTAGTGTAGGGTTTTTTTTAATTTAATGTTGTGGTTAATATATATGTCTTTAGCTAAGATGTTAATTAGCATGTGATTTCCTATACACACTCAAAATAGAAAAATTATGAGCAGTTGATTACTTAAAATTTCTACATTTGCACATAAGACCTATTCTGGAAATAAATTTTGTTAATCATTTTATGTTCTTTGTTTTTGCACAAATTTATGATTTATTATTTTTCTTGTTTCCATGTGTATATAGAGAATTACAGTAATTCCATTGCTGTGTAGGTGAGGAATGGTGTATTACTCCTTCTAGGATTTATTGAGGAAGACTATTCAGAGTTGTCATGTTCTAAGCTTTATGGAAATGCTTATTTCAGCAGTTAAATTTAAGACAACATAGAAGCATCAAAAATTGATATTTATATACTTTTTTTTCTTCTTGTTTCTTAAACACTGTGTCAATATTAAGAACAATGGAATCGACTTTCTAGACAATTTTTACATGACTTATCTAGCAGTCCAGCATCATATATGAGTCAGATGAAGATTTGATGCAATATCGTAGAAATATCTCTGCATTTTTTTGTCATTTTAATGTCAGTGTGCATCAGATGTGACCTTTGCTTTAAAGAGACTTTTAGTCTTTACTTTCATGGGGGGAATTGTTTTGTTTTGCTTTTCTCTCTGCTTCTTGCCAAGAGCTTTGCTAGATATAAATGTGTGTTTCACTGGAAATGAAAGCGAAGATATTTTTAAAGCAGGCTGATTTTACTAGGTATATGACAGTAAAAGTTTTGTTTGATCTTGAAATGCAAATAGACATTATAATGATGCCCAATTTTAATAGAGTTCAATGAGGCTACTGGTACTGATACTGATTAAGTTATTTTGTTCCATTAACAAAAAAACACAATGTGTATTAGCTTAATGAGACAATCGTATTCATACGAGATTTATAAATTAACAGGAAACATATTTAAAGGTTCATTATGTTGACTGTTGACTCATTGACACATTAAAGCTACATGTTTCATTAAAATGTTTCCTAACAGATTAAATTTCTCTCACAAGAAACTCACATTAGAATTGTGAAAAAAACCCCAAAACTCTATATAGTGTATTTTATCATAATTTTTAAAAATAAATAAATAAATAGATAAAATTAAAAAGAGTGATTAATTCCTTTGTTGTTACAGATCAAGGATTCTTCAGAGTATTTTTTGTCCTCTTAAAGATATCCTGAAAACCATATAGATAGCAGTGCCTGTTCTTCTGAGGAAATGATAACATTTAAAATTTGATCAAGTTTCTTCACAGAAAGACTATCAAATAACTCAGATATTGGATCTCTGTTTCAGCTGTAGTATTTCCAAGTCTTCTCAGAAGTAAGGAGATGGTGTTAATCAATGATAAATGGGAAATCTGTTTTATGGACTTAGAAGCTTGAATCTGACTTAGAATCAGTGCATCTGTGTTAGGGCAGCTCATGTCTCTTGTAAGACTATAGCCTGTATTGTTCTATAAAAAGATTTATCTTTAGATTATGGGCCTATTCAAGAGTAAATGGGAAGAAGGGTAAACATTAATATGATTACTTTTTCATTGTTTATGACTGACTGAAGTATTTCCAAACATGAGTATAGACTTTAAACTTCCAACTGATTTCCTTAGTATATGAAAGAGCTTTTCCTTTTCTTGATCGTCCATTTATATTCCTGACAGACAAATGAAAGAACATCAGTCACTGGAGTATTTGCAAATTGTAAATTACTCTCCTTGAGTGAGAAGTGAGAGAAAAAGGATTTACAGCAGTTTTGCAAGAATAATTCTAGTCTGATGTAGTATGTGTTCTGATACAGTTTCTAAAGCTACCCTGCATCCCCATGGGGGGAAACTTAGTCAATGCATTAAATGTCTTCAGTCTCAAAAAATCTTATACTAACGTGGAGATTTCTATAAATTGATAGGTTAGAAATAAAATTATCTTTCAGATGATAGGTTTCTGATTATTTTCATTCTCGGTTTCCACTACGTTACTAGCAATTCAAGATATGAGCTCTTAATAACTTTAAATTCACAACTTGGCTATGGCAGTAGTAGTCAAAGTAGTAGGCATTGCTTGGGGAAGTAGTTTTAAGCTCTCCAGAAAAAAAAATAATTACAACGTATAAGTATTAATTGGGGGAAAAAAGTGGTCTTTCACCTTAGCCTAAATGTAATATTGAATAAACACTAAATGGGAGCAGAGGCTATTTTTTCTTCTGCTTTTTTTAAAATATTAACCGATTACAGGGAGATTATATATTAACATAGCAAAGCACACAGATTTGGGTATTAGAGAAAGGTAATGAAAATGTCAGAGCAAATGCAAAATAAATCATTCAGCTGAAAGACCAAAATATAATTGAGCAAAATTAAATTAATATAAATAGAATGTGGAGTGTATATGACAATAAAGTTTTAATTCCGCTGCCATATATCAGCTTTGTATCAAAAGCTGTCTAAGTAAAACTCGATTTAGAAATTAAATTGTAAAAAATTCATTCAATATTTAATTACGAATTGCATGTGAATGTGGGTTTTTTTTTATTATTTTTTGCCTTTTTTAAGTTTGAAAAATTACAATGTAATGGAACAGAAAAAAACTAGTTCTATAGCATGAAAATCTCAAACATTCCAATGAATAATGGGGGTTTTTTTCAGTGATTGTTCTCTAAAAGAAAAACAGTTCCTCCTTCACTCTGTAACTGGCTTGTAATATATTCTGTTAGGACACTGATAATCCTCACATGATTCATCTGCGCTTTCCTAAAGATATGATAAGATCATATTGCCAGTGGCCTTTTCATACTGTCTTGCCACTGCTCTTTTCCTGCAACTCTTCCTTACTCCACAGAGTTCATAACTCCCTTTATGGACTTCTCTGTATTTCTTATTTGTAATGAGGTGTATTTGTGCTGCTTTTTGGTAGCCTTTTCAGCATTTTCCTGTTCTGGTTTCTGGCCATTGTCTGTTCCACAGTTGTGTCACTTTTAACCAAAGTAACATTCTACATCACTTTACTTACTTTAGGAAGCCTGTAAATAAAATGACAAATCATGGAACACAACTAAGGCTAGAGAAGAAAATGCTTTGATGACTTAACTTTCATCTTTGGAATGACAGCTGTATTTACATTAATTTTTAAATCTTTTTCTGAGAATTCTTCATGGTGCATTTTGTGTCCCACATGTACTCCAACCTCATGTTATGACAAATGGAATCAGAGATCTCAGCCTTTATTTACAGTTTTCACAGTAAGGCTAGGGCATAAAATACGAACATGTGTGGTAAGATATGTATTTCATTTTATCGCAGCATATAAGAATTATGACAGTTCTATACCTATGGTTGTTGGGGGTTTTTATCAGCTCTATGACACCACATTAAAGAGATACATATGAACTAGGAAAAGTAGCACAAACCCAAAATTGCATAGTTCATACACCTTATTTAAGTATGAAATAACTGCTTTAAAAAGTAAAGGTGCATGTTCTACTTGTGGATTTTCAAAAAACAATCCCTGCATTAACATGTCATTAGAATTTATTTAACATTGTATCTGACTACATAATTTTGAAAGCTGAAATGTCAATCTGCTGCTTAGAATTGGGAATCGAAGTCAGGGGATTCTGTTCTTTGTGTTGCTGCTATGATTACATAGATGAAAAATGTATTCCCAAAGATTTACTTTAGATTTTAAGGGGAGAAAAGCAAAGTGGAACCTGAAAAGAACACAGAGCAATCTTTCAGGAATGACAAAGACAAGAAGAGTACAGAGTTGATTCTTGTTTGAGACAGGAGAATAGAGGTCCTTTTCAATTCTATTTTTCTGATTTGGTTCTTCTAAAATTTTTCTTTTCTATCTTCCACCTACAGATTTCCCTTGCATAGTTCTCTGCCTCTCTTTGCCCATCCTCCCAGTATTAAATAACGAGTTCTCTAGAAAAAAAAATTGCACAAAAATATGTACTAAGCTATTTTGTGTCACAATATTCATTAATGCATGAGTAATGGCTTGTGAGGCTACTGAATGGCTCTATCTCTTTGACAGGTACGATCCATCTCCGCATTCCTGAGTCCTCCCCAGTTGGAACAGCCATTGGCAGCGTCAAAGCCACAGATGCAGACACTGGAAAAAATGCAGAAGTAGAGTACAGAATTATAGATGGTGATGGGACAGATATGTTTGATATTGTTACACAGAAGGACACACAGGAAGGCATCATAACTGTTCGAAAGGTGTCTATCAACAACATTCACTAAATGATTTTGGTATCAGTGTTATGTCACAAATGTTCATTGAAAAAAGTGCTCAGATGTTCTGACATGTTCTAGCTGTTTAGCACTTGGAAGCATTGTCCCTCGGTAACTGAACAGTACTGTCTCCTTTCCAGGTGAACGGGAAATAGCAGGCAGTAGCAGTATCTGAGATGCAGCATAGCTTTAAAGTTTTATTGCCAGTGAAGTGTGTAAAATATGGGCCATATCCAATATGTTAGTACTAATTATCTCTGTGAGTTCAAATACAGATTTCTTTAGTATTCATATAACATATTTTCTTCATCAAGCAACGTGCAGTTCACTTATTACTGAGAGTTTCATATATGCGCTTCTCATCAACTTGGGAACTTAGAATTCTTGTCAACTCTTAGGGAAGATCCAGTGAGCCTTGAGTCCTCTTCAGTGTATGTCAGAACACACCAAACTCACAGAAGCTTGTTTCCAACATGTCAACTGGTTGACATGGGAGCAGTGAATAATGATTGTGTCTCTGTTCACACAGAATCACAGAGTGTTAGGTGTTGGAAGGGACCTCAAAAGATCATCTAGTCCAACCCCCCTGCCAGAGCATGATCCCCTAGAGCAGCTCACACAGGAATGCATCCAGGCAAGTTTTGAATGTCTCCAGAGAAGAAGATTCCACAACTTCTCTGGGCAGCCTGTTCCAGTGCTCTGTCACCCTCACAGTGAAAAAGGTTTTCTGTATGTTTACATAGAACCTCTTATGCTCAGCCTTGCACCCGTTGCCCCTTGTCCTATCATTAGATGTCACTGAGAAAAGCCTGGCTCAGTCCTCTTGATACTCATCCTTTTCATATTTGTAGACACTGATGAGGTCACCCCTCAGTCTTCTCTTCTCCAAGCTGACGAGTCCAGCTCCCTCAGCCTTTCCTCGTAAGGGAGATGTTCCACTCCAGGGCTAGCTTTAGTTCTGCCCTCTGTCTTGCATGTCAGAGAATTTTCAGACATGTAAGATCTCACAGTTGAAAAAAAACATTCTTCTGCTCCTCAACAATTTCCCCATCAGAAGTCCCTCAGTTCTTTTAAGTGGGATTTTGACATGTTTCTGAAAAGTTCAGGGAGCATTTCTAACAAAGCATTTTATATTAGCTTTTAAAGCTAATCTCTTTAAGCATAGAATAACAAATTAAACATTGCTACAAAATGTATCTCTACATCTCTTGATAATGGCAACCAAGGAAAAGGTAAGTTCAGCAAAGATCAGAATGTGTTCCTTTTTAATCTCTATGTTCTTCTACGTTTATAGTCACCATTGTAGTTTATTTGGGAAGTAATGAATATATGAAGCTTGGGGCTGAATATTTTTCCTTTTCCTAGATGTTTGTGAAGGCTCCTCTTGAGTTGCTCCTTTCTTTTTTGCGTGAGATTTTTCACACAGACTATTGTATTAAATCAATACAGTCTTGAAAAAAAAAGTCTAGTAACCGATCAAGCATAAAAAATTTATAAGCTGTATTACAGTAGCTCCAAAAATGTCACCAATAAATGCTAATGAACAAGATCTACACTTTTTTGCCATTAACAATCTTAACATATTTTGCAATTTTCAGGATGCTTTCTCATATTAATAAGGAAGTAGTTTATTTGGATAGCACAGACAACAGCCTTAACTAGCAAGGAAGAAGATATCCTCAGTTTGTTACTTTATGAAATATTCTTTATTTTCTTGTTATTTTATCCAAGTCAATGGTAATTTCAGTTTTCAATAGTGAATAACTATAAATGTCTGATTTTCCTTGCCTGCTGCAAAAGAACTTTTTCTATACAATTTCTTAAAAAACAAAATAATTGGTTTGCCACAATGTCATGTATTTAGGAAACAGTTTTGTTAATTACCAATGATATGTTGGAATACTTATACTACCACTATGTCCATGTGTTGCATTGTAGCCTGAAGAGATGTCCAAATTACATACGAATGTACTAATAGCGAGTTATATACATATACATGGTGCAACTTCTGACAAATTAAGCCAGCTGATTAGAATAAAGCAGGACTAACAGCTTATTTACTTCTAGGTTAGAAGCTAGTGTCTGTTAACAGCAACATGCTGCATTTTCTAGACACACCAGTAGTCTCTGATCTAGCTTAAATAGCAGCATTTTGTTGCATTTCTCAATTTTATTAATAGGTATTCTCCCTTTAACTATATTTTTTTTAACAGGTTTGGGACAGTAGGGAAATTCATTCTCTCACTGGACTGCATCCTTCTGTTCTAAAACGGAATATTTAAATTTCTAGCCTGTCACCCTAGCATCTGTCAGGAACATTAATTTGTATTTAAAAGCAGTTAGGCAGAAAAAACAATCTTCCACCACCTATTTTGATGCCTGAAAACCACCAGTGTGATATCTTCCTGAGACTTTCAGTGAGTTAATGAAATCTTTTGTGTGTCAGAAAGGTAAATTCTCAGCTTGCTCACTTCCTCAGTATCATAAATTAGCTAACATGTTTTATCTATGACAGTTAGAAAAATTTGAAGGAATTAAGCTTTTTTCCTTCCAAAATGGTTTCTAATTATAGCACCAAAAGGTTCTTCCTTTCACTTTAAAGAGGAACTGCTGACAAAAATATCAATTTTATTTTGAAAAAAAACAACAAACCACACAAAACCAAAACAACAAAACCAAATAAAAACAAACTCTAATATTAGATTCATTAAATTAAATTAAATTAAAAGAAAAAAAAATAAACTCCTAATGTTTCTCTAGTTGTAGAGAACTTTGACACACACACCCCTTCTGTAGAAGAAACCCAAAACATCCCTGGTATTTAAGGCCAACTACATTTGTTTGACAATAAGGATGCTCAGACCGTTTTGAGTATCCAAGAGTTTATAATATTTCCTGATAAATATTAGTATAGAACACTGTGTTCTAAAATGTTATTATTTCAACTCTGTATTTCAAATATTTTATATGCTTATATGATTGTTTCAAATCCATATTCTCATGAAACAGATGTAAAATTCACTCACTGGTAAATTTGCACTGAACATCTTTTTGTCAGTTGTGCTACAATTCAAATAACACTTAGGAAGAGAAACTTCCTACAAAAACAATGGAAATTGCTTAATAGAGAAAATTATTCCTGCGCTGTGGAAAATTTGAACTGCATTGTCATTCCCCCAACCCAGGGAAAGATCTAACAAGGCTACAGTCCTATTCAGTTTCCCTTATGTATATAGGTCAATATCTGTCAACTTATAATGTAATAAATGTATTATCATCTTCCTTTTTAGCCACTGGACTATGAGACAAGACGACTTTATACCTTGAAAGTAGAAGCTGAGAATACCCATGTGGATCCACGTTTCTATTATCTTGGGCCTTTCAAAGATACAACTATTGTGAAAATCTCTGTGGAAGATGTAGATGAACCTCCTGTTTTCAGCAGATCTTCTTATCTTTTTGAGGTGCATGAAGATATTGAGTTGGGAACAATAATAGGAACAGTAATGGCACGGGATCCTGACTCACTGTCAAGTCCTATAAGGTAATACTCCAGTCTCTGTAAGCACACGATTTGCTAAAGAAATTATAATGAATAGGAATACAACATGAATTTTCACATACGCATTGTTCACAGGGAGAACATCCTAATGTTTTTTTCTGTTATTTTATTAGTGTCCCAGAGATAGATAGAATTGAGGATGATGCTGTTCATAAGCCTCTGAACACCTCAGGGAACGGCCTTGCACTGGCACCCAAGAGACTCAAGAAAAGTGAAAGCTTATTTATTGCCTTTGAAGTCAATTGTCACATAACTTCTTACTGACACCCAGATGGCAAACCTGGAATAGGAAGTGAAACTGAATCTAACTTTCCCCTGTAATGATTCATGTGTATGAAAATGATAGAAGATAACATCAAGACCCTGAAATTTACGAATATATAAATAATTTAGCATTGGATCTTTATGCACTTTAAATACATGAGAAAACTTAAAAATTTAGTAGCTATATTTTCTTAATCGTGACTGGAAAAAGAGCAACCTTGGAGCTTTTGTTCATTGTGTTTCTGACACAACGACGTGTTGAAGAACAGTGGCAGGTATTTTCTTCAATACTATTATTTACATAGAGTAGAAACTTAAAAGATTATTCCAATTATTTTATATAATTTTTTATGATCTGTTGATATTCCTCTCATTCTTCCATAGAAAATGACATATAAGAGGCAAGTGGAGGAAACAAAAGTAACAAGTACAATTTCTGAAAAATGGAAAAGGACCATTGAACCTAGATTTAGTTCACTTGAAGAAAAAAAATAGAAGATATATGTGAAAATGCCCAGTCATCTATTTTAGCATTAATTTCATGGTATCTAGTAAAAGACAAGAACTTTAAAACAATTTACATAGCCTAGGTTAAATTCTTTTTAGTGTTTGCTCTGTTTGTCAACTTCGAAAGCAACCTTGTATATTTATTCATTACTTGTATATTCATTCATTCACTCATTACCTAGGATAAGCTTTACCTCTTACAATGCCAGTACTAATAACTATGTGTTATATTGTACTTTAAAAGTGTAGTAGCAATTTTTTAAATTATTTTTTACTTTGGCTCAGTTCTGCCATGTAGTTAGATAAATGTTCTGTAATTTGCAAAATCTTACATTAATTCCACATCAAAGCTTCAGTCTTAACTTCGAAGGAAATGTTAAATATTAGAAAAAATGGAGGAAGGAGCAATTTTCTTATGGTAGTTTGACATTCTGCCATATTGTTTTAGTAGAAGTTTTGCCTGCAGAAGTATAGGAACCATAGCGATATACAAGGTCCTTTAACATTGGTATACTAATGAAAGTGAAAGTTCTGCATGTAAAATTATTATTATAGAGGTGTTTGGCTTTTTATTTATTTGATCTCTAGTTAATTAGCAAATTCTGAAGTGTAGAAGCTGAATTTAAAACAATAATTTTGAAAAGCAAGTAAGTTAACTGTCAGACTCAGTCTGAAGTAACAATACATTGAAGACAATTTTCCTTTCAGGTTTAAAAGCATTCTTTAATTATTATATTGTTATTCTGACTTTTTTTTTTTTTTTTTTTTTTTATGATTCTCATATGTCTATAACAGTTTAGGTGTTCAAATATTACATTTCTGTATCATATTTATGAAATTATTGCCATTTTTATTCCTCATTCTACGGAACTGACCTTGAAAGTTTTCATAAACATTTATAGAAACTAAATATATGTCTTCTCAAAACTAACCTTTGTAATGGAACATACAGAACCTAATAGCTATATTGACTTGCAAAACGTTTTCTGCCATTTTCTTTCTTCCATTTTTTCTCATTTTTACAATACTTTTTCTTTATTGTATTTAGGTTTTCTCTGGATCGTCACACTGATCTTGACAGGATATTTAATATTCATTCTGGAAATGGGTCTATCTATACTTCTAAACCACTTGACCGTGAAATATCACAATGGCACAATCTTAGCGTTATAGCAGCTGAGATCAGTAAGACAATTTGGTCTATTTTTTCTTTTAATTTTCCTTAGCCTGTACAGATGTAACTGTGACTTCAAGAAAGAAGTCCTCTCTTTATTCCCTCCCACCCTTTTCTGTTTTTGTCTCTATTGTTTTCTTAATTTCTTTAGAAATAATTTAATTTTCTCTTCCTATGATATCTACACCTACAGCTCTTGGAATAAATAGATTTACAAGTTAGGTTCAAATTGTTCCCTAAGTTGTAGCATTTCTTGGACTATTTAAATTGGTTCTTTGTAGGTATTTTCATGTTAAAAAGTACAAAGACAAAAGCAGAGATTCTCCTACAGCTGCTACATTATTAACATTAACTCTAATCATCTGATGGAAATTTTAATAAGGGACAAAGATCTGATATTTTAAATTAGCCAGTGAGGACCACTTGTTTTTTCAAATACAATGGTTTTTTAAATTTTAAATTAATAAAAAAAAAAAAAAGAAATAAATACTAATTAGCAGCGAAACATGGCTGGCAAGAACTACACTAAAGAGAACTAAATGGAACATTGTGTCCAGCCAATAAACCATTCTTAGCCTGCCTGTTCCCCTTTCTTTTGTCCAGAGCAATATGAGCATGGAGCACACTCAGTAGCTGCACTTAAAAAATATATGATTTTTTTTCCTCTGGTGGTGCACAGTCCTGAGCTTACCAATCCTTCACAGTGTTTTCTAATGTTGTAAGAATACTTTTCAAAAGTATTTACATAATGAAAAAGCTAGTATCTTTGTATGTTTATAATGTAGTTCTAAACTTGTTTCCTCATCAAGATTCTGTGAGTGTATTTACATTCTGTACCTAGCTGGAGTAGCTAGCTTTCTTCAAAGATGTCCATTAATTTTGGAGAAGAATGAAGGGGGAGATTTAGGTCTTTAAAGCTTTAAAAATATTACCTGGGAAGAATGACCCAATGGGAAAGCTGTGTTAAGAAGAGAACCCATTTGGAAACTTAGTACAAAAATATAGAAGGCTATGAAAAGTAATGCCCTAAACCTGCTGTTTTAAACAATTCAGGATATTAGAAAGATCCACATCACTCTTGAGCAAAGGTGTTATTAATGACAAACTAACTTAATGCTGGCAACTCCTAACTGTTTACAGTTTATTTAAAGCAATTTAGAAGGGAAAAAAAAACACAACAAAAAAACACCAAACCAAAACAAACCCACATCAAAAACCACCCACCAGTACATTTGGATAATCTCTATTGTTAATTATTCCATTCCATTAAAGTTGCAAAATTATATTGTATTTAGGTACCAATCATCAGAATTCCAATAAATGGCTGCACTTTTTAACTCATAGGCATTCTTTCAGATTGTTGGTAAGGCAACTAGATCAGCAAGGGGAAACAGGAACACTTGTATTCCTGAATTAACCTATACTATTGAGATGGCACTATCAATAGTACTAGGGTCTTGGCATTTGGCAAGGGGAATGTTAATATTCTTATTTCTTAACCTAAGGTCTGAAAATCTAGTATATTTTAAAGCAATTGAAACATAAAAACTCTGATTCTAATAAATTCTTTACCAGATTTTTGGAGGATAGTTTTATTCCTTGTGATAGTATTTCTTCCTGCTTATTAAGATCCAAGAGAGGAAAGTCAGGTTTGACAGATTTTCAAAATATATATACACAAAGTCTATAATGCCTTTTCTGTGTAAAACAAAACATCACAAATAATTTTAAAATTAAAAATGAAAACCTTACAGCAAAGTAATACTCTTGAGTCCACCTAAGAATCAAATGTCATTATAGTAATAAGCATAATTTTTCATATACTATATTTGCATAGAGTTTCAGCCCCTGTTCTCATATAAAATATATAATTGCTCACTAGATACCAATAATTTTATGTATTTTTCTACTCTACATAAAGCATGTCCTTATTTTTCAGGAGTTCTGATTCTCACATAGTGTCAGTTTCTATGCTAAATTTTTACCATTTCCCTACTTTATCTTGCACGCCTATTGCTCATTAAATTTGGAAGAAAACAGAAAACTTTTAGTAAGAAAATTAACTCATTATTCTTCTTTCTTCTCCTGTCAGACAATCCTAAAGATACTACTCGCGTTCCTGTCTATGTAAGAATTTTGGATGTTAATGACAATGCCCCACAGTTTGCTGTATTCTATGATACTTTTGTCTGTGAAAATGCAAGAGCTGGACAGGTATGCCTTTGATAGACACTTCTCACTATGCAGTTTGTTGGTACTCAACTTTAGATCATTCTTGCCAGTTGCTTGGGAGAAATAATATCCAAAATAACTTTTGAAGAGTCAGAAATGAAAGCACAGTAGCTCTGGAGGTGATGCTTATGGTGAAA